AACCGGTGGCTCCGAAGCTGGCAAGTCAAGGTCTGCGGAACGACGGGCACGAGACGGTCTCGGGTCATTCTCGGAATCGTCCCTCCATTGGGATTAGAGTTTTCACTTGTTTCTTGAAATGCAGATTTCGTGGCAGGCACAGCACTTTGTGAACCTGCGTGTGCAGATTTCGTGGCAGGCACAACACTTTGTGAACCTCCATGTGCAGATGTCGTGGCAGGTGCAGCACTTTGCGAACCTCCATGTGCAGATTTCGTGGCAGGTGCAGCACTTTGTGAACCTCCATGTGCAGATTTCGTGGCAGGTGCAACACTTTGTGAACCTCCATGTGCAGATTTCGTGGCAGGTGCAGCACTTTGTGAACCTCCATGTGCAGATTTCGTCGCAGGCACAGCGCTTTGTGAGCCTCGAGGTGCAGATTTCGTGACAGGCGCAGCACTTTTGTGAACCTCCATGGGCAGATTTCGTGGCAGGCACAGCATCTGGGGAGCTGGAAGCTGAGAACAATCTGTAGAGCTGGAAGCTGAGAACTGGCGACTTTCTAGTACAACTTTAGTACGTGGAGCAATCTGTAGAGCTGGAAGCTGAGAACTGGCGACTTTGTAGTACAACTTTAATACGCGGAGTATCTGGCGAGCTGGACGATGAGAACTGGCGACTTTGTAGTACAACTTTAGTACGCGGAGTATCTGTGGAGCTGGAAGCTGAGAACTGGCGACTTTCAAGTACAACTTTAGTACGCGGAGCAATCTGTAGAGCTGGAAGCTGAGAACTGGCGACTTTCTAGTACAACTTTAGTACGCGGAGCAATCTGTAGAGCTGGAAGCTGAGAACGGGCGACTGTGTAGTACAACTTTAGTACGCGGAGCAATCTGTAGAGCTGGAAGCTGAGAACTGGCGACTTTCTAATACAACTTTAGTACGCGGAGCAATCTGTAGAGCTGGAAGCTGAGAACTGGCGACTTTCAAGTACAACTTTACGCGGAGCATCTGGGGAGCTGGAAGATGAGAACTGACTGGCGACTTTCTAGTACAACTTTAGCACGCGAAACAACCTGTGGAGCTGGAAGCTGAGAACTGGCCACTTTGTAGTACAAGTGTAGTACGCGGAGGAGTCATCTCTCGCTGCTGAGTCAGCTCTCGCTGCTGTGAGTCATCTCTCGCGACTGAGTCATCTCTCGCTGCTCAATTATCTCTCGCTGCTGAGTCAGCTCTCGCTATAGCCATCTCTCGCTGCTGAGTCATCTCTCGCGGCGTGCAGGTTTGGCACAGTTCATACTGATAGTATTTGGTTGCATTTATGCAGGACAGGACATTCAACTGCTGGTCAATACACCACTCATCATACACCACTCAACATACACCACTCATCATACACCACTCGTCATACACCACTCATCATACACCACTCGTCATACACCCCTCTTGTCGTGGCAAAGATACAACCCAGTACGCTGTTGTGAGCTGCAGATCCTGCAGGGGGCACACACCTTACACACGTGGAATCCCGTGGGTCAAAAGTCCGGAGCGCGTGCGTTTGACTGGAGGACGCGCATGTGGGAGAGTACGTGGACACTCCTATAGGTCAATTTGTTCTTATAGGAAACTTCCGCCGCCGGCTTGCCCGGGAACTACTTGTATATAGACTAGATTTGGTTTTGTATTGGTTCCCTTTTGGTATTCCTGGATTCTTGGAAAGATGCTAGGACCGCTAAGATAACTCGATGCGGTATTTGAATTTAAAGGCTTACGCCTGACAGCCGGGCGCCGGCCCAACACAGGGAGAAAGCAAGACGGTAGAGGGGATAGAGGCAAGAGACATGAGGCGACGGGGGCCGGGACTTCGGGCATCCTGGCAGCATCCTTCAATGTGGAAGGGGGCTTACCGCCCGGGTGTGTGTAAGATACACCGAAGGTCGGGAGAGCCGTCTCTGTCTCTTTCTCTCTCTCTCTCGCTGGGTGTCGCGGTCTTGCTTGGAGCCGTGCTGGGGGTATTTTGGGCCATTTATGTCGACATACGGTTCTAGACCGTTCCATACCCGTTCCAGACCTGCTCGAGCTCATTTTGAGCCCTTCCCCACGTTGTGAAGCTGATGACCTAGGGTTGGCCATGGCGCCAGTGAAAAACAGAGTGCAAGGGGGGGCGCGTACGCTTTTGTATCAACGAAGGGGATCATTGTGCAATGTCGGATGTAAAGGGGAACCTTCTCTTTTCCTCACGCGTGCAGGGTTTGCTTTCTCCACTACATGTATATGTGATCACTACTAAGTACAAAGATGGAATTCATTCCAGAGCTCCGGAACATACCTGCCGTTCCAGACCTCCGGATCAGAACTCCGGATCATACATCTCGTTCCAGACCTCCGGATCAGGAGGTCAACGTAGGGAGCCGGGTTTCGACCCACAACCAAATGTCAAAGTTTGAGCCCTGATCGCAGGGGATCTGAGGAGGTTAGATAAATTGTTACCACATGTCATATCTATCTGAATAAATATGTCCTCACAAATCCACACCTGTATATAATCATTTGGCCGCAGGTAGTTCCTCCAGCGACTTGCCGTGGGGGGCCGCAGGAAAAACCGGCGACTCGCCGTTGTCGTTTGGAATTTGGTTGAGAGCGGCCACAAGACCGGTACCGGTAGATAGATATATATATATATTAGTTTCTTGATGCTTCTTGTTATTAGTAGTAATGCCAGGAGGAACTTGTACTAGTAGCTTCCTGCTCCTAGTAGCGATGCCCTTTGTTACTAGTAGCTTCTTGTTGCTAGACTAAATCCTGTACTATGCTGCTACTCCGCCAGATCGTCCGCAAAGCCTCCAAAGAATAGTCCACGACTGGGGGACCAAGTTGGTCGACAAGACCTTCTCATCCAGTTGATCAGGCTGCATTATTCGATGTTTATTTGCCTAAGTCTTGAGTTCCGCTCCGTTTGTTGAAGTTCCAATGTCAAGGAGTCAAGGAGGTTCTCGGAATCTCCAGGCCCTTCCTGAAACTTGATGGATCTTGATGGTGTTTCCACCTCTCCAGGTGAGCAAGAGACTAAACTCCCCCCGTTTGTTTGTGGTAACAGGGCGAGAGAACACTGCAATAGATTGTTTTGGCATGTGTAAGTTAAGTGGGAATGATAACAAGTTAGTACCAGTAGCATCATCACTTGCACCATGAGGTGTTGCTTCGCTCCAGTGGTTTTGTTTTGTTCGAGTGTGCTCAGGGCCGGCTCGCCTGTGGACGACACGCCACGGGCGAAGGCAGTGGTCTTTGGGCCCTCAGGGAGACAGGTCTCGACCGATTCAGATCTCAAGGCGATGTGTTTGCCAGATTCCAATTAAGAATAATTAAGGGGATGCAAATTATGCCAGGCGTACGGAACGACACGCAAAAAGTGGACCTGCTAAAGGCGATGGAAAAAAACATGCGGTGAACATGTACGGTTTAACAGGTCTTTGGAACTCTGCTGGTTTCGAACAGCGAGTTTCCGGTGCGATGCCGACGCGCACTCTGCGCGTCGCCGATGCAGGGGTGTCGCTCGTCGAGTGGAAGGGTCCATTGCGAAGAGCTTCTCGATATCAAGACGCCTCGGCAGGAAGTCAGTGAGCCTAAACATCAAACCACCTCCCAAAAATATAATAGGAGAGACCTAGACTCCCGAGCTGCAAATCGGTATGCAGAATACGTACATAATATCTAATTATCTAACGGGTTGAAAGACCCGCTGCTGCGCCACGTGCGGGATGACTTGAGTTGAGGATGTGTGAGGCAGCCTGTTAGCCTGGATGCAGGCGACCCTGGTTCCGCGAAAGGAAGAGCCGAAGGCGGACGAAGGCCGATCCGTCAGCAAAAAATACGAATGCCCCTGGAGGGTTAGGGATATCCTGCCTTGAACAATTTGCCAGGCGGAGAATGATGTTGATGTAAGTTGCTGGATGTTCATTTGGTGGAGATTTTTTTCGAGTCAAGAAGATCTCCCAGGCCCCAAGCCTCGCTTGAGACGGGGTGGGTTCAATTCAACTCCTCCTCTTTAATGACCACATCATGACCATGGAATCATCCTTTGGCACACCGATCTTTATCCACCTCAGCCTTCCGCCTGAACCGTTGGTTCCTCGGACCGCTGATCATGGCTCCAGGGGCGGCGAAGCCGAAGCCGCAGCTGGTGAAGCGCAAGTCCTTTGAGGAAAAGGCCGCCGAGACGCAGGCTCGCCTCGAGGCGCGGCTCGGCACCGTGCTCCTGCAGCTCCGCGGCTCCGTCCGCGTCAGAGTGCGGTGATCCAATCGGCCCAAAGACGGACGGAAGCATGGTGGAAGCATGACGGTGCGGCAGGTGAATCCTTCCGCCAATCCTTCCGTAAGGTTGCTGAACACACCTGAAAGCCAAGTAGACATGAATATTCTCACGACTTTCCCCATACTGGCATTCCTGCGAACTTGCGGGAACCCTAATAATGACTATACTTCATAGTTATAATAGTAGATCCGAGAACGCTCATGGACCGGAAGCATCTTGGCAATTGCCATGAAACACTCTGATTCAGTGTCCCATTTCACCGCTGGCATTGCCCTTCCACCATCTTCCACCCCGGTCCACGTCCCTGTTGGGAGGCGAAGCTGGCCAAGTTTCACCAAGACCAGGCCTGTTCTGTTGGTAGCAGCCGCTCTCAAAACCGACAACTGCTGCAGTTTGGGTGAGTGGTCCTTGAAGCCAGTGCTGAACATCCAAACCGGACCGAATGTGCCCTTTGGAGCTGCCAAGGCTGGCTTGATACTTGGGTGTTTTTGAGCTCCCTCAATCATTGATTAGTACATGGTCATATAGTGAACATGGTTCATTGCATCACGTCTTGGGTCACCATTTTTGCTGGAGTCTTCCGATTTCATGCACGACACCATATTATTTGGGCTTTGTTGATCAAGATCAGTCTTTTGCAGAGACAAACTGTGTTTGTGGTCGTTTCTGGTCCCTGTGCAGGATATAAAGTTACTGTACTTACACTGACCCCTTTTCAACAACCGCAGCCAGGATGTAGTATGTCAGACACGGACCTTCTGGACATTGCAGACCGGGAGACAGACCCCGATGAAGCATCTCCAGACGGGGGAACATCTCCAGACTGCGAGGAGCAGAAGCGTATCCAGGCGTGAACACCCCGAGTGACGAGAGAGGGGGCCTGGTGTATTGCACAACTGGGTGTGTGGATGGGCGGCTGGGTGTTGGCATGGTTTTGAGATGTTTTGAGACCATGTTGGAATCCTCTGGCATCCAAGGATCTAACTCCCAATCCCGCGAACTAAGTGAACTAGTTTTCAAGATCCATCAGTCCGGCCATGTCCCCGTCTTTTTCTCGTCTTCATGTGACTAGTTCCGTCACCTGCGTCCCTGAGGCCTCCCACGTGGTGCCCGGATCACGTGAACAGGCGACTTCGGTCCCCCAGACCTGTTGGGCTTTCCGTTGTTCCGCCCTGATCACACTCGTTCGGGTTTCCATTCAACAGCCGTGGTCCTTTTCCACCCGAGAACCGCAGGAGGAGGTCATGAAGATGCGCCGGCGAGAAAAGGCGTGGGTTCAAACTGAGCAAACGCAGTGGGGGCAGGTGAACACGTCATCCTGTGCCGGTCCCTGTTTTGGTGACCGGACATGGTGAACTAGATGTACCCAATGGGCTGACTTGATTCAGATGTCACCTGATGTTTGTTCGACGTTGCTAGAGAAGACGACGGAATCCCCGCAAGGAAAGCCAACTTTCCATATGTTTCTATGCAATTGTGGTTTCGAGCTGCACAGTTGATTCCTTGCAGGAGAAGAAAAAGAAGAAGAAGGAAAAGAAAAAGGAGAAGGAAGCGAAGTTGGGAGGCAGACTAGCTGTTCGATGTAGTTTCCCCCAGTTGTTGAATCTCTTTTAGTTTTTTTGCAGCTACTGTAACCGAAGAGAAGGCTACAAACGAAGAACATGGTGCTTGGTCGCGGGGTAGTTGTCTCAAAACAATTCAAGCCTGAGAGAGCTTGCAGAGATCCTGAGCTTGATTGGGTAAATGAACAAAGGCCGTGTTAATCAGCGAGGGTCCGTGGGTCTGTAGGTTGGAGAGTTCCTCGTCTTGAGAGCCAGTCACCCATGTGCTGTTTGGCATTGATGGAACTGGTGAAGCCAGGGAAGAGTTCTTCTTTTGAACATTCTGCATGCTTGCAGGCAAGAAGAGCAAAAGAAAGCTATCTGAGTAAGATTAGGACAGATCCAACCCCTCAAACGAGATCCTTTCAAATAGAAGCATGGCTGGTGACCCAAATTCATGAACGACGTGATCGCCATGAGCCAACATGATCAGGGAAAGGACGTCGTTTGGTGGGACAGTCCGCGGTTCTGTTTCTGACGAACCGAACCGACGACCCGAAGGGACGGACGGCGGGGGAAGCCGACACCGGGGACGTGAGAAGATTCGAGCGAATCTGGCGGAAAAAGGGCCGCGAGTGAAGGACGGTGGGTCGTGTTGGATCCGAATCAGAGAGAGGGGGATTCGGGATTGGCACGTGACAACGTTGGTGTGGTGAGACTTTTCAGAAAGCCTCGACTCTTTCTATGGAGCTTTCGGACCGATGACCAAAAGTGCTTGTGGATGCGGTGGAAGCCTGAAGGCGTTGGGACCACTGAACCACCTGTCTTTCTCCACCTCCAGGCCCGTCAGGGCCCAACCGGATCAAAGAGACGTACAAACCGAGACGCACGAGGGGGGCCGACACGAGCTGTACGCTTCGAAGCCGCAAGTCGGAATCCCCAACATCGCCAGGTGTCCCCCGCGGACGGCGGATGTCCCGTGCTTTTTTCCTGCACGAAAGATAGGCTTGTCACCTTCCACCAACGTCCTTTCGCCTCGCGGAACGCCATGGAACATCGCCAGTTGGCCTCATGTTGAACCCCGCAACACCGCGGACACCCACACGCCACGCACTGTCTACAAGAACCATGGCGTCAGAGACAGAATTCTTTGCTGAAATGCCGATGCTTTTGGACGAAGTGCAGGGCATCGACCAGCAAGAACAGAGATATTACTGTAACAGCAGAGAAATAACAGAAACTATAGAATCAGTGGCGAAGACCCCCCTGTAGCTATCCTACCAAATCCTACTAGTACGAATGATATCCAACATTTTAGAACCAATTGCTACTACGTTTTGGCCGTCGCAGTAGCAGCACTCATAATATGACAGTCGTCGTTCAAAGTTGGTAACTGACCCTTTTCTTCGACTGCTTGACCATTGAGGATGAATGTGTGATTTACTGTACTTTGATTTACAATGGACAATGATTTATGCATGGAGACCTTTTGGACTACTTCTCTCCAGACTCCAGACCCCGGCAACAGGTCGTGAAAAAGAACAAACACGGAACCGGACCTCCAAAAGACAGTGGCACGCACGTGGGTCCACGCACGCGGGGCCGCCATGAAGGACTTAGCGGATCGAGGCAGCTCAGGGCGATGATGCGTTCGCTGGTTCACCATCATTAGTACATATATGTATATATATGTTATGTACATGTTCATTGAAATCACCAAAGGTTATAGTCATAGTGCAAAGACCTGTATGCCATTGTGTTTATGTTCTCTGATCAATAGCTTGGGCCTGGGAGTTCTCGTTTCTTTTGCGTATCAGCGGCGTGCCAAAATCTCGATCATCGCCACGTGCGGGGTTGGAAAAAAGGAGATAGCGTTCATTCTTTATTATACCATACCGTGCGTGCGCGACATCCCGACGCCGACGCACGTTGAGGCGTCGTGCCATTCTGATCGGCGTCGGGCCTGGTACGATCCGCCTCCCCCCGACCGCCTCCCCTTGCGACCCCCGCGACCGGTGAACGCGTGATTGCCGCTCCCCCGGTGAACACGCGGCCAGCTCCGCGGAGAACAGTGCTCGGTGTCCCCCCGGTCCGCCGGTTCCACGCTCCAAAAAGCGGGGGGCGAATCGGTCCCGGAAGCCGCTGCACGCCGCGACGTCCATCTGCGATGGCCGTCGCAGATGGTACAAGGACCCTTGGGGGGAGAAGAAACAGATAACGTTTAACGGCATGTCTCTCCGACACAAAAAACAGTTGCAAACACATCAAGGATCATCAAGGGGTTTTACAAAGCACCACCAGAGCCCACTTGCCCTCTGGACCTGCGTCCCTAGTTTTTTTTGTCGCAGCCTGCCTTCGCATGTGCCATCCCTACTTCTTCCATGGGCGCTCATCACATCAGCCGATGCTGGCTTGCACGGATGTGTTTGCGTCGGCACCAGGCAGTCGTGCAGCCCAGCAGTCGCGGTTTGGGCGGCCCCGCCGTGACCGTGCATATGCATTTGGTGTTACTTTGGTTTTGCGGTCTGGCTCTTTGGGTTTACCAAAAGCATACGTCGAACAACTCGAACCGCGGACCGCACACTGGGAGCGCAGAACAAAGCATGGTCGAACTTCTGGTCGAAAGAGGCGCTCGGGAACTCTCCGAACTCCAACGGCTTTCGACTTCAACGACGCGTCCGAACCCGAGCTTCGTTTCTCATCGCACCCCTCAGGGAGGGGGGTGGGAACCCTGACGTGCCCGGCTGGAATTCGACTGATTGGAGATCCTTAGAGTTGGCACTTGGATCCTGGGCTTAGGGTCCAACCACCGTCCTCTTTGAAGATTTTGATGGATTGTGGGGGTCTCCTGGTTCTCGTGCGCCTTGGATGCAAGGCCATCCCCCTTGCATCCCCTTGCCTTGGATGCTCATCCCTTGGGGCTATTGCACGATTCCTCGAAGATCGCTGTTTTCTGAGCATCCATCGTTCCCCGCGATGACAAGACAGTGACAGCCACAATCCAACACGACAAGAACTGACACCTGAAACCGTGCCGAGAGGGGGGATGACAAAGAGATGGAGCATGGAACGTCGCACATTATGAGATGTGTCATTGTCATGCATAAAGGGCGATTGAAACTCGAACGACCTTTGTTATTGATCTTGAGTGGTGGAAGCATAATGTTGCCATGAGCATCAATGTTCAATCAACCCGACTCCAACTGACTACTTGTAGTGACTAGTTTTATGACCTGGATTAAAGCTAACTCTAATGAACCACAAGAGCATAGACGCCGTACTGGTAGGGGATGAAACCGAGAAGACGAATTAAATTGAATTAAGGCTGAGCCAACCGAAAAGTCAAAGATGCACAACAAATACAAAAGCATTACAAAACGACTGCAAAGAAACATGCAAATTATACAAAAACATATTCTTCAAAATAGGGCACACAGTTCACAAAGAGCATGAACACTAGGTTGCTGCCTGACACCAAGAAGCCTCGCAGGAGAAGACTACCCTAAACAGGAGCCCTCCTTCAAAAACCATACACCTGATCTTTGCTTTGTTGTGCTGGCCTTTGTCTATGCCACATGCACCCTGTACTTGGGTTTCTAAACATGTTTCAGGTCTGGCAGGCTTGGGTGAACATGTATTCATTACTGCCATAGGTTTGAACCAACGAATGTTTTGGCTCAAGTGACTTGGCCAAAATAGCGTTTGTTCTCTCTTTTTGAGGGCGGGACCCTTGGAGAGACAGTTCTTTTTTGTGCAGGGAGGGACCCTGTTTTCCCATGAGCGAGTTGGGAACCAGCCTTGCTGCCTACACCAGGTACCAGGTGATCCATGCCGCCGCGTGGATGGAGTTCAGCGCTCACCTTCAGGAGCTGGTTGCTGAGGGGCGCGAGCGGGAAGCTTTGCGCCTCTGGGCCTCCGTGGTGGAGTTGGTGCATCTGGGGTCTCCAGGGCAACCCCTCTCCATCGCTGGGTTCCCCCCGGTTCGTCGGTTCGTATGTACCACCATTCCGTGTGCAAGGTGCACCGACCGTCGGGGCGGCTTCCAGTTCCCATGGGTGGGCGTATGGAACCGCCGCTGCTTGCTGGTTCAAGAGGGACTTGGGCCAGCGGTCGCGTGGCAGCGTTACCATGCCTCTGCGGCGCGCTTGGACCGCCTGGCGCTGCAGTGGATTGCCTTTGACCTGGGCCCGTTGGACATCTTGCCGGTCCACGTTGGTTTGGCCGTGGAGCGGCTGGACGACGGGGACGATGGCATCGACACCGAGGAGTTCTTCGAGCTGGTTCGGCTTTGGCAGCAGGGGAGGCGGCCATGGCGGGAACCATGGTCGTCCCTGGTTGGGACCCCAGGTATTCCCCGTGAAGTCGCGAATGCAGGCCGATCCATCCGTGCGATCCTGGGGG